GCCTTTTACCACTGGACTTAAACTTCATTGTCAAATTATTGAGTATTTTATAAGACTTAAACTATCTCTGGATGCCTTTTTTTTTTTTTTTATAATTATTATTAATCTTTTAATATACAATAACAACATTAAATTTCAATTAATTCAGAATTAAAATTCATCAAATTCCATTAAAAAAAAAACTTTTTCAATATACATTTTTTTATTCATAAAATTTAAACTCTAAATTTTATTTAAGATGAATTGAATTTCTTCTACTTAAACAAATAGATGGTTAATACAATTTTTTAATTGATTGATAAAAAAAAAAAAAAAAACTAATGGATATTAGTATATGCTAGAACTAAGCATTAATGCAGTACCACATAATTTCCTTCCATGCACTTGCACGCATGCAAATCTTAATTACCTCACGGCCAATAATTGTATATTAAAGAATTTAAACTATTACATCTATTGACATAAAAGTTATTATTATAAAACTCGTCAGTATATAATCATTCTCTCATTTTTTTAAGGTCAATGAGTTTGTAAGTAGTTTGTGTATAATTTAAAATTAATATTTTAAAAAAATATATTTATACATTGACTTAATATATTTTAAAATTTCTTTTTAGGTGTTAATATATAATTTTAAATTTTAAATTAAATTTATAAAATGATACTTGTTTATTTTGTAATACTTTTTATTTATTAATTTTTTATCAAACTTTTTTTTAATGGAATAATTTGATCAACATGATTATTAGGTAATTAAAAATATTAACCCCAGCAGTATGCCTACCATATTTTTGTGGAAACGGGTGCACCATACCTTTCCAGTGTACGACTGTTTCAAAAACCATATCCCATAAAGGTCATAATTTAATTAATTAATTAATTAAATGAATATGAAAAATTGGAAGGTGAGCGTCAGTACCCGGCTTCTATATACATTGGAGTCTCAGTTCATTAATTGACAACGTTTATTTAGAATTAGAATAGTTGGAAAAACTGGCTGATTATAGTTGGTTTTAATATATATTTCGTTTATGTAGAGATGAGGTAGGTAAATTTTTATATTAATTAAATATATATAATTAATATATTAATTATAAAAATTTTAATACCATTAAATACTTCAATATATGTTAGATTTTATTTAAGAATATTATTTGATACCTTAGTTTTTATTTTTTATATTTTTTATTATTTTTAAAAAATATAAAATATTAATAAAAAATAAATGTTAAATATATTAATTATATGTTTGAATGTTAAAAGATCAAAAAAATAATAACTGCAATTCTAGGCCAACGTACACTACCAAACTAAACGTTGAAAAATACAATTTCTTGCACATGATTTAAATATTAGATTACATTGAAAATTGACATATATAATTAAAATTAATGAATATATTATTTAATCAAATTATTTGTTTTTAAAAATAATAAATGCAAGTTTATGTTTTTCAAATGAATAATGACTGCTTTGTGCAATTCAACAAATTTCATGATACATTTATCAATAAATTATTATTTTAAAATTTGAATTAAAAGTAAAAGGAACTTAAAATTATATATTGTGATAGTTAAATTGATAAGTATTACAAAATGTATTGAATTAGATAATATATTAATTATTTTTTAAATAAAAATATTTTATAATTTAAATGATAAAATATTAACTAATAAAATAATAAGGGATCTTGAAAATAAATATTGACCTTTCTATGTAATAATTAATATTTTACAATATAATACCATTGATTGATTTGGTACCAATTTTCTCGTACCAATTTTCTCGAAGAGTCGGATCTAATGTTAACTATCATCTAATTATATTGTGTTAAAGACTGAAATGGTACTTCAGATTTAGGTTCAGGCTGAGAGGAATTGTCTCTTCGTGATCTCTTTTTAATGGTCATACTCATGCCTGATT